AACCCTTCGGCATTCTGCTCAATCAGCACGCCGCACTGGGTGAACTTCTTGCTTTCCCACTGACCCCACTTAAACCGGTCCTGGATTTTCTTGCGGATCTCTTGCCATTCAGGGTCCTGCAAATTACCTCCAAACAAGAAATCGTCAACATGACCACAAATCCACCCTATAGGAGTCCTATCACGTCTGAAGAAACCCCAACATGTTGGATCTGACAGTTGTCGCTCGCCTCCGATCGACTCCAAGAATCGCGAAACCGAGAGGTACCACTGAATAGGTGCCTCGACCAAGCCGTATGCCGCTTTAGTGAGCAGCATCGAACTCTCTCTGGGAACCCCTAGAGCATCACATATCTCTGGCAGGGGCTCGCACACCATCGGCCTGTCGGGTCCAAAGTCGTCCCCTTGTAGGAATGCCCCGCTGATGTCCCCCTTTTCCACCGAGAACTGATGGTTGGCACAGTGTTGGAGGAAAAGTTGTCGGGTAGTACGGCTCATTGTCGGACTACTTGTTGGACGATGCTCGTAGAGGGGGTCCATATATCCAAGAACGACGGCTCGGGCCTTTGGCTTGAGAGGATTACCTAGGTGGTCCCGCTTCACAGGATTTCCTTCTTTAGACTCTTCATCCACCTTCCAGGTAAGGATCCACCGCATTTTGAGGATTTGATTCTTACTAGGCTTGAGGTTCTCAGGAAGTTTCTTGAAGGCCTGTGCCACTATAAAATTCTTCACCTCCTTCTGCTTAGCACCCCTGAAAGCTTCAAGCTCCGAAGGACTCAAGTGCTTCTCTGAAATCTCAACCGCATTCTTCCTAAGCTGTTTAGAAAAGAAACAACCAAGATCTCGAGTCCATTCCCTTCCTTGCTTTGTATCTACTGGAGGCAATCCAAGGGACAGGGACACTGCAGGGTTCTCTGTCTGCCAGAAAGCAGATTCCTCCTCAGGATAGACTATCCCTGCACTTTCCAGGAAATCATCCATCGCCAGTGATGGCTGTGAAGCCACTGGTCTACCTCGCCTAAGGCTACTCCTACTCCTCTCTCCGCCTCTAGGCCTTGTTGGAGGTGTTTCGGGTTCTTCT